CCCGGAAATTAATACTTCTGCAAATTCATATTTGTATATCAACTACTGTATCTTCCGGAAGTCAGCTGATGATAGGTATCACCACATGCAGAAAAAATACAATTAGATGTGTGTTCAGAAAGCTAATTTAACCAGGTGACTCGGAAGTGGTTTCTTCCAACTTGGGACGCTGCCTATTCCAACTGCAAGAAGCCAAACAAGCCATTAAAAAAAATTCTAGTGATCATAATAACTAGTGCACTGCCAAACTGATATGACTAACCACTGTGCCATAAAATTTCAATCACCGCAAGGAAGCATGTTACACCTTCAAATTCTAATAATCACAAGACTAGCCAATGAGTGTGTAGTCAAACTGAAACAAATATATAGCACCAATCAAATTGATTTCAGGATTAAGAAATACATCTTCAAAAATGTGCAGATTTGACCAAGTACAGTCAAGTTCAACCAAGTAGGGTTATACAATGTGCAGTAAAGTGAAAAGGACTAGAAAACCAATGAACAACTGTCGAATACAAGAGTATGTAGGGTTTTAAACTGATGCATACCTGCAACAGTGCTTTCCTAACCATGGGATTAGGCCACATGCATTACGCTTGTGTCCTTGAGCAAGGCACTTTATCAGTTTTACTTCTCTCCACCCACGAATATATGGTACCTGGTGGGGTTGCCTGTTACTGCACTGATGTTGTCCCAATGACCATTAAACAGAAAGGAAAGGCGCTTTTATTAATGACCACAAACACAACATAAATTCTCATGAATTCATGTTTAATAAAAAATTGTTCATTTACCATTGATTTCAAAAACTTGTGCCATTTCTTTTCGCCGTTCCTCGTCAGCATATGGTATTGTAAGCCACGGCATTTTGCTGTAGTAGTCTTTGAATGATTCCTCTGACCGATCAAAAGTCACAAATATCATCTCCATCTCAACTCCTCGCTCCTTAATTTTCTTGTAAGTTTCAACTAGAGCAGGAGTAAAAGTCTTACACGGAGGACACTGTGTAAAAAAAAAAAAAAAAACAACGACACAGCCTGTAATAAATACTGTATAAAGAAAGAGAATTGTAACTGATGAATTATTGTAGAGTATGACAAAATATAGAAGCAATTATTTTATCAGAATCATAAATATTTGCAACATGTTTTCTCCAATCAGATGCAATAGGCCTATAAATATATTAAAAATTTTGATCCTCAATAGCATACAACTTAATCTTAACTACTGATTAGCTCATTCTCCTAAAGCCATGCCCACACTATTTTATGTGATATGCCTAAATATGATGATGACATCATATGACCATATATAGGCACATAATGACTATATATGGGCATACTATACAACAGTTTTTTTGCCAAATAAACTTTGATTGTCTGGACAGAGATTTCAACATGATGGAAATGAAAAAAAAATAAATAAAAACTGTATTTTATCTATTTATTGTCTTTTTGATTTTTTTTTTTTTTACATGGATTATTAAAGTGATTTTGACATTTTCATACGCATATGACATAACATTCCTATGTTTTTATGGGCATAAAGATTGTTGAGTTTCTTATTCTTGACAGAATGTTGTGAAGTGTTCTAACAATAAATACTTAAAATCCTTCACTATGGGAGGGGGGGGAGGAGTTGTGCAAAGGTCAAGTGGGTGCTAGATATTTATGTGAGAGGTGTTAGCTCACCAAATAAGTTGACTTGAGGTGATTTTTAAATACTTAATTGGGGGGGGGGGGAAACTGGGGGAGGGGGACAAGTATATTATTGTTTGTTTTTTTTTGGGAGGGGGAGGCACCCTCTTGATACACCACTGCACAAAGAAATTACACATATTCACACATACCCAATGTGCAGAAAAATAGAGACATAAATGCTTCCCTTTCAATGTCTCTGTAGCAATGTCAGCGCCAGCATTATTCTGGACAACACTTCCTAAAATTTCTATAAAAGAAAAAAATAGAAAAATGATTATTAGACTATTTTTGCCTATTCTATTCGGTAAAAATAGTATTAATAAAGAAAGAATTAAATGATATGAACTTGTGATAAACGCTGAATTAAAGCTACATAAAAAATTTGAACTTTACCAGGTCTAGTAAAAGTTTATGAATTATGCACATGGACATATTAATGTCCTCTAAATGTTGTATTATTGTCTACGTTTACAATTTAAACTGTCTTAATAACTAACAGAATTCAAGAGCCAAATGGCCGAGCGGTTAAGCAGGGTCACCGTGATCATAGCCAACAATGTCGGCACCGGTTCGTGGCCAACTCGCTCCTATAGTTCTGGTGGTGGAACAAGCCTTCTCGGATAAGGACTATAAACCGTAGGCTCAGTGTACACAAATGCTTGTGCACTTTAAAAGAACCCAGGACATCTTTTGAGATGTAACCTGGTGTACTGGTTCACTCGGCCTGTCGTCGACAGATGAAAGTGCGCCGGTTTACTGGCTGCAGAGAACATGAAGCGACCCTCAGGAGAGGAGAAAGTTATTGAAAAGCGCAACATCTAGCCGTGAGCGCAAAGAGACCGCGTTTATTTTTGCGTTATATAAATCCATCTATTATTATTATTAATTCACGTCAAATATAATAAGCTATACCACCATCTTTTTCCTTTTTTTTTTGAAAATTTTTTTTTTTTTAATTGCCATTGTGTCTTAATTATCATTACTTGTTATATTACATTTAACCTTATTTTACATTTCTTATTACTATGACCATTATTATTATTATTCTTATTATCACTTTTATTATTATATTATTTTTATTATTACTAATATTGTTATTACTATTACCATTGTTTCTCTGGTAAGCATCTTGTACAGTGACATGTTCCCTTTTTCCCTACCGGATTCTTTACTTTTGAGAGAAATAAAATTATGAAATTATACTGTGCATATTCATTAGTTATTTCCAGCGGCCTAAAGTAATGAACACTGTACAACTGACCGATCCAGAGTACAAATCAAACTTAACAACTGACCAATCAGAATGGTACGTGCCTGTTTAACAAATACACGTTGTCCGATAAACACATGTGTGTAGGACCTATGTACATTTATGCTATCTTTTGTGGGACCTTTCAATAACCAAGTAGCAGAAAGGTCAAATGTGCAAAAAGTGTATTACAGTAGTTATGTTCAGTGGCATAAAATAACACTCTAACTGATTGAGTGATAATTTAGATTGTAAGGAACTGTGTTCAGGTGTAAGGTTTTGGGTATAATAGCATATTGTACCATGGGTTTGGCAATTAAATTTCATTGTGCTCTTTAAAAGAGTTTTTTTTTTGAAGACTACCTTTTTTTTATTCCAAAATCCTGTAAAGAACCTGATTAATTCTGCTTTACATAAAGTAAGGTTTATTTATAAGAATACTGTATATACAACAAAGTACAGTATTTCCTAATCCCGGTTTAGTCTTTCCCTGTTTACAACAATGGTTTTTATAAGTTATAGACCTCAACCTGCCCAATGATAAAGCACCTTTAGCAGGATATTAACTTAGTGCTCATACTACAATAATACCACAGTTCCTATCCATGGTCTAATAACAGAATATAAACAAGTTGTTTGAACACATAGTTCAATTGCCATCTGTCTAGTCCTAATCATTCAGTTTATCTACAAAAGATACATACTTAATAAATCATTAAAGTTATTTCCCTGATATTTGGAAGAGGTCGAATGTTGTACCAATCCATAAAGGTAAATCAAAACCGATTAATAACCGATATCATTGCTACCTACTGTTTTAAAGATCGTTGAACGTATTGACTATGATCAGTTGTATAATCATATTTCCCCAGTTATCAGTCCCTATCAACACGGTTTCTTCCCTAAACGATCTTGCGAAACAAACATTGTCTCTTTACTTACCACTGTCTACAATCAAACAATGACAAAATGCAATGCGATATTTATATTTATACTGATTTTAGTAAAGCGTTTGATTCTGTTCCTTTTAATGTCCTTATTTTCAAGTTTAAACAGTATGGTATTGTAGGTAACTTGCTTTCATGGTTTTCTAGTTATGTTTACGACCGTAAACAAAGAGTGGTTATTAATGGAGTTTGCTCAGACTGGGCTCCTACCAAGTCTGGATTACCTCAAGGCTCCATTCTCGAGCCCCTTCTCTTTAATTTATTTATTAATGATGTCCCTGACTTATTTACTACATCTAAATGCCTTATGTTTGGCGACGATCTTAAATTTACCGCACAATCAGCTGTCTCAATGATACAGTTCTTCTTCAAAACGATATTAATTCACTTTCCAATTGGGTATTAAAAATGGGCCTCATTCTCAACCACGCTAAATGCAAAATTCTTACAACCACTTTAAAAACAAAAACATATTTTACTGATTACTATATAAACGAATATGCCTAACGCACACACTGTCAAAAAGATTTAGGTATTTATGTTGATTCAAAACTCACCTTTTCCGTTCATATTGATTTTGTTGCCAAAAAGGCTAACAAGCTATTAGGAATGTTTTGGAGAAATTGTAATAGTTTATCACCCTCTTAATTCCTTAATCCGTCCAGTTATTGATTATAATTTTTAATTCGATTGCAAAGGTTCATGTTGACAGTCTCGAAAGATTTCACACACGTTTTCTTAGGTTTGTTTCATATGATGACAATGATTATGAATGTAATTTACTTTCTCCAATTCGTCATAGAAATATAAATGAACCTTAAGTTTCTTTACAATGTGGTTAAACATCGTTTTGATTGCGACCTTGCCATCACTTTTAGTTCCTATACATTGCCTGAGACGAGTTAATTTATTTTCTGTCCCTTTTGGTAGTCGATCATATTAAGAAAGGATGTATTTGTAGATTAAGTAAATATTATAATTATTGTATTAATATAGATAACAGTATTGCTATTTTCTTTGATTCCTTTACCGAATTTAAAAAGAAAATTATTGTATAAGAGACAGTTTCAATACTTGGAGTATATATTATACTTTCTTATCTAAGATTAATCATTGGACCTTTCCGTTCATGTTCAAATGTTGTCACCTGTATTAAATTAATTTTTATCAATCATTATTATACCTTTTATTATACATAAGTATATTATTACAATATATGTTTGAATCTAATTTATAATAGGCCTTATATAAGTTTTGATATTAAATATAAGAAAATACTATTTAAATAAGAATATCAAATTTTGTAATCATTCGTATCAGTTCCTTCTAAAATATACCTGTTTCCTGATTCAATCCCTGTCTCTTATACACATCTAGAGCTGCCTTTAGGTCTACTCTTAATCCTTGGTTGTCGTCAGCTTGCGTCCAACGGGTACACTACTAGCTGACCGGCTGTCGTGAATATAGTGCTTTTGTAATGAAACTTGGTATTTTTGTTGCTCCCCTAGAAAAATTCAGGAGCGCTATTTATTGCTCTCCTCGCATAATTTCGAGGAGCGCGGAGGAGCGCCGGCGCGATCGCGCGCCTTTTAAATCAAGGTCTGTTGTATCCGTCTCTGTTTTATCCATCCTGTAAGTGGCGGGTTTGTACTCGCTGTTGGTGTGGAATTGAAATAAAATAAAATAAAAATAAAACAAAAAGAGGTGGGGATTAAAATGGGTCAGACTGAATGTTAAATTTAAATAGGGCCACAAGCAAACTTAAGGTGAAAATTTGACGTTTTGAATATGCTTGCAAAAACATTTATAAACTCCTTTTATATCGCTTATGCTTAGTTTTAATTTTAATATTAAAAGGCGTTTGGCATCAGACCCTAATGAATGAGGGTCTTCTAGCCAAAGAAGGGTTTCTAATTGGGCAATCGGACTGCATGTGGGCCACAGGCTGCATATCATTAAATGATATTATTATTAAATATTATTAAACTTTACTTTAAAGTTAATAATTAAACTCTACCCTCCAAAGCCCAACACACCCTAATTGTTTTAAAGGAGAATATAATAATCTTACACTGTATGAAACTAATTTATTTTAGATTACCTGCAAACTCCTTTGGTTTCCATGGAAAGTTGACACCTTCGGGATCTGACATGACTTTCTCCCTTCCGGACGTTATGACTGAATTACCCGTCACACTGTCCACAAAAACTAATGTTGGAATACCACGCACTTTGAACTTGCTTGATAATTTATTCTGAAAACAAAAGATGAACATTCTAAAAACAAAAGATGGACATAAGAAATGCATGTAGTACTATTTAGTCCTTTTCAATTTTGTTATTGTTGTATATATTGAGCTCCTTAAAGTTGGTTAAATGCATAAGACATTCAAATATTACATTTTTAAATATTATAAACAGACAGTAAATTAATTTATTATATTAATTAGATTATCATGCTAGCATTTTTCAAACAGTGATGCGGACAAGATTATTTTTTTATATAGTTACTCGATGTAAATGTGCAGCATATTGGAGCTAAAAACACACCTAAAGCCCCCAACATAATCCATCCACATGAACTAGAGTATAAGTAGCCATTGATCACACACAAAAAGTAATAAATCTGTATGCTTACTAAAATAATTAGCTTTCATAGTTGTAAACAAACCTATCAGTTAATTTATTTAGCTTTTTACTGTTTCACTAACATTTTTATGCAACCTGTATTTGTATAGTTTCTACCCCAAAGAAGAACAATGTCCCCACATTGATTGGGTATCCAGCTAAAAGAAAGGTTTCTAACTAACTATTTATTTAAAATCAATTTCATACGACTAGCAAAGATACATCACAGTTTCCTTGGATATGTTATATTATAAACTTGTGCCCTGTTGGAAAAAAACAAACAAACATAAAGACATGTTGAAAGTGTATTGACCCAGTATAAATATAATTACATTAGACACATACTGTATATAATATTCTGTATCAGCATTTTGATAACCCAGACAGATGGTTTCCTTAATTTGTGAATGTAAAATATTATTGGGTGCTTACTACTGAGAAACAGATGTAGGAAAATATTAATACTTATGGTTTCTATTATTAAAAAAAAAAGCTAAAACTAAGGGTGTGTTTCTACTGATAAACACAAAATAATCGATTTTTTTTAACCGCTTTTTTGATGAGTACCCGACAGCCTGCTCGCGTTGCATTTTTGATTTTTTGAAAATCGGTTTTCGTGACGGAAATTACGTCACCATTTTGTTTATACAACACGTTGTTTTCCTAACTGTATAGGATAGTACCTTTCTCATTCCTGTCATGATGATGAGGAGTAAGATACGGTGTGGGGCGAGAAGGCAAATGTTTTCGGCTGTGCTCATCGGCACAATAAACGAGCGACCAAACGAGGACAATGGTAGGCCCAAAAGAGCGGAGAGGCCTAGGCCCAATATCCCCTCACAAAATAATTACAAAACGAATTCGTCACTCCACGTTTATTGTAGGCCTAGGACATAAACAAGAGGACAATTTTTGTTTAAAGTTCGCGCCTAATATGATCTAGTCTTTGCAGTGATTGACATGGAGGTCACATTTCACCTGATAATCGCTTTTTTGTGTTGCAGCTAAAAGGTGCACAGCCAAAAACGGTTATTTTCCGTTCAAACACGCTATCTACTGCATGTTTTTAATCGATTTTTTAAAATCGCTTTTTTCAAACTGGTCCCGTTTCAACTGCGAGAATAAAAGCGATTTTTCGAAAAAGCAATTTTTAATCGATTATTTCTTTCCAGTAGAAAAACAGACCTTATGACATATTTGGTTTCCAGTTAGGATGTTAAATGAGTGTGCGCGATGTATTATATATCAACAAATGTGATTTATACCGATTGTTAATTAATTCTGTGTGTTTCTGATTTGAAACGGATGATTTTTATTACCTGTTTAGTTTAGGATTAGGCCTATTATTTATGAAATTAGCATATCAAATACTTACTACGTTGTGTTTAGGCCTGTTATTGGCAAAATTTATTGTTTAATATTTGTTAGTAACAATACTGTAATGTATATTTGTTTAAACTGAAAGGTCCACTGATTGTTTTTGTTTCAGGTTTTGAATTGTTTCCATACATGTGCATGAATATCATATACTCTATTAATTTAATATACTGTATTACTACATACAGTATATTAAATTAATATACTGTAGTAATACAGTATATTAATTTAATATACTATATGTAGTAATACAGTATATTAATTTAATATACTGTATTACTACATACAGTACTACTGTAATGTATATTATTAATTATTGATACCATAATTGAACAACAATGATGCAGCTAGGATGGTCAGTTTCCAATTGACAGCCCTAGCAATTAAGAGGAAAGACACCCCTCTTGAACTCTTTACATATCACTAGACACCTTATGTCAAGTTATGACATTTTCCAAATATGCTAACCCCGCTTCAAACTTAATTCTGGCTGCACTCTTGTTGGACATGTTGTGATCAACAATCTAGTGTTTTTCGGAATAAAGTTTAAGGTTCCGCCAGTCAGTAACAATAAAAAGAGGAAATTAATAAACCCTACCATACCATAAAAACTCCCATGATTTAACTGTAATTTATACTTGTTTGCAGACATCGGTAGTTTGAAATCTACTAATATTTTTCAATAACATAAAAAGGACATTTTATTGTAATTCACCATTGTTCGATTACTAAACTTGTCATTACAAAATGAGGCAATTCCGGTGTTTTCAGAAATCTTGTGATATCAGTCAAATCAAAACATGTCATTAAAAAAAAATTATATAGGATTACTTAATATGAAAGTTTTTTAGTACTTGTAGTTGTTTTTAGTCATTGTAAAATATTAATCAGCCTTTGGTAAAATATTAAAACGGTACTTCTCTACAGAATTTAAAAATACAATTTATTAACTTTCAAATCAGCTAGATAAAACGCTAAACTACAGTAATACAATATTTTTACATTCCAACCCTTCTATTTGACATGTACACTGATTTAACATGTACAGTACTACTCTACAGCACTGTAATTAAAAAAAAAAGATTTTGCATCACTTTAATAATACGCTGTAAAATATTAAAATGGTAATTCTGTACAGCATTTTAAATTCTTTTACCATTTATTATTTTTCAAATCAGCTGGATACAGTAAAAACCTTGAATAACTAATACAATATTTTTTCATTCCAACCCTTTTATTTGACATGTACGCTGATTTAACACATAGTACTTCTCTATGGAACTGTAATAAAAAAAAAAGGTTTTGCACTACTTAATAATATGCTACAGTGAGCCGTTCTGAGAACACGTTTTAAATTAATTATTTTTTCCTAGTAGCCTTACGTTCTTTTCTTACAAAATAATTTAGTTTTTCTAGAATTATAAGAAGTAATTCTTGTTGGATTTTGTTATTATGATTTGTTATGTTGTTGTATAATCTTGTTGGTTATGGGAAAACACCATTGCTATTTATCTTAAAAACATCCTGCATTCCAACTTTCATTTTCTTCATAAATATTTTTTTTTTTTCCCCAACAATTCTAAGAAGAAATTCTTGTTGGATTCGGTATGTATCAGTCAGTGGCGGATCCAGGAATTTGAAATAAAGGGGGCCCAGAGAGGGACTTTCAGAAATAGCGGGTCTATACCGACGTTCCACAAACTATGGGCCGTGAAACATTTTTGGAGGGCCGCGAACCCGTTGGAGAAATTGGAAAAAAAAAATAACAAAACAACGGTTTTAATTTACGCTAATGTTTCAACTGTGTGGACAATTATAGTATGAATATATAATACAATATTAATTATTAGTTAAAACTACAGTAATTGCTGACTTTGTGTTAGTCTGGCACTCATTTTCAAATGTAGTACAGTAGGCCTACACTGAGCCATCACAGTAGGCCTACAGTGAGCCATCACAGTAGGCCTACACTGAGCCATCACAGTAGGCCTACACTGAGCCATCACAGTAGATCACAGTAGGCCTACACTGAGCCATCACAGTAGGCCTACACTGAGCCATCACAGTAGGCCTACACTGAGCCATCACAGTAGGCCTACACTGAGCCATCACAGTAGGCCTACACTGAGCCATCACAGTGGTGGTACTAAGACGTACTGTAACAATGCAACTGCACCACTCAACATGCTCTCAATGGAATGGAATGCACTCCCTATTGAGATACGACAGTCTCCTTCTCTATCCATTTTTAAGGAGAGACTCAAGACCTACCTTTTTCAAACTTTTTAAATTTTCCATTTTTGTTGTTTTACCTTTGTTGTTTTACTTCCATCGTTTAGTTTTTCTAGGATGGGCTAGTCTAGACGCCAACATCACTTGAGCATTTGTGAGTTATCTACCTGCAAACCACTGCTTGCCTGTGGTCTCAAATTGCAGGAAAACGGTGCGGTGATGTTGGTTCCCCTGCGATAGTCTGTTGTTTTCTCATGCTTTTTTTTTTTATTCTTAGGTCGCTTGGTTAGACTTTAGGATTTAGCTTTTGGTTTGTTTTCTTTCGTGTAACTTAAGCGCATAGAGACCATGTAGTATGCACAAGTCCCAAACCATTACCATCTCAATGCTAGAACATGCTCTGGATGTGACCACATCACGGTCGTATGATGGACTTATATCACTCCACAACAAGCGACTAAAAAATGGTGGGCTAAAACTACATTCATTACCCAACCTTTCATTTAACGACAAAATGAATTACCATTACGACGACGAATGTTTGTGTTATGGCTTTACAAAAGTGTATCATTAGTGGAGAAGAAATGCAAATGAAAGGTGTGACGAAAGAAGCGAATATAGTTAATGAACTGCCAGATCGTCTTGCAGAGTGACTGAGTGTACGTGAAAGATTTTTGGAAGAAGTAGAAAGCTAAGACGTGTGTGGCTGAACCGTGTTCGGTTGAATCATGGTAGAAAAAAACAATCAACAACTGTCGGGGGGAAAAACACAAGTGTATGGTATTTATTTCATTTAATCAAATACTATTTAATTAATACAATAAAATTTTGTTACTGAGAGAACAGATAAGGATCTCTAACTAAATAACAACTCCCTGGTATATACATGGAGGCTTGGTGCCTGGAATCGTAAATAGGCCGTAAAGTGAAAAAGTTTGCAGAACGCTGGTCTATACCACCTCAGCCCAACCATGGTTGGGGCTGAGCAAAAAAGAAAATTTATGATTATGGCATCTCTAAATGGCCAGAAATGACACTCTCATACTTAAATTTGATTATAATTTGAATTTTTTTCATCTATTTTAAAAATAATTTTGACAAGTTTAGGGGGTGCCCGGGACGAATCTGCCACTGTGTATTTATATATATATATATTATTGGTTATTACAATCTGTTATATTATCTTGGTTATTGCTACTGTTACTTATGGGAAAATACCATTCTCATTATATTAAAAACATCCTGCATTTATATCCTCATATTTATATTTATTCATATTATTTATACTTTTTTTACAAAATAATTTAGTCTTTTCAGCAATTCTAAGAATAAATTCTTGTTGGATTTGTTATGTAATATTCTTGTTGGTATTGTTATTACGGTTTATTATATTGTTTTATAATCTTGTTGGTTATTGTTGAGGGAAAACACCATTGATTTTATCATAAAAACCGTCCTGCATATTTCTTCATATTTATATTTCTTACAAAATAATTTTTTAATTAATTAATTCTAAGAATTGCTGAAATTATTTAGTCTTTTCAGCAATTCTAAGAAATTAGTCTTGTTGGTTTTTGTTAGGTTATGATTTGTTCATTTTGATATTATCTTGTTGGGTTATTGTTATTGTTGAGAAAAAAACACTGTTGGTATATAGAAATTTTACTATTTTCCAAGTAGCCTTGCTTATGTTTTCTTTAAATAAGAAGACATTCTGGCTATTGTTTAAATTGGAGAGGAAAACACCATGTTTCACTTTATCTTAAAAAACATCCGGCATTCCAACTTGTTAACTTGTTTCATATGTTTAAAAGACAAACACACTCTTTTTGAGTAGCTGACAGAAATATTACCAGTAGAAACCTGTTATTATTTGCCAGTCAAATATGACATTTGTATAGCATTAGCAAAGACCATGCTAAATGGTTTCTAAACCTTCAAAATTATTCATAAGAAAATGGATTTAAACATTTGTCAAAAATATTGAATAATTTTAAAATTCACATACCTACCCACAAAACTAATTATTTTCAACATAATATTAGATACTCAGGTCCTACAATGATGAATAATCTCCCTCCCCCAATTCTAAATGTTGATTCTTTAAGAATATTTTCAAAAAAATTGAAACTTCACCTAATGTCGTTCTATTAAATTAATATTTGCGGTCAGCTTTGATATGTCCTGCTTTTGCATGAACTTCAGTTGTTTGTTTGTTTATTCATTTATTAATTTTTTTTTGTTTTTGTTTTTGTTTTTTTGCTCTTCTTATTTTTGTCTGTATTGACTTACTTTTTAAAAATTTTTCAGGCATGCCCATCACAAGATCTTTGTCTTCTCGGGATCATGCCTTTTTCCATAGTTTACGTTTTTTTTTTTAAAAAAAAAAACCTTATTATTGTATTGCATCGTTTTGTGTTCTATTGAAGTTTAATAAATGTCTTGAAAGAAAGAAATAATAAATATAAAGGAGAGTTTACGTCTGTTGATTGTAAAGTTACCGAATGTCACATGGAAAACCATGGAAAATAAACTTGGCAAATTGTCAGTTCATCTTGTCAACCCCTGAAATCCAGCATCGGACAGCGCGCGCCAATCAGAACAAAGTAAAGTGTGTTAAAGTTTAACCTCATGGCAAATGTTGCAAAGCTGTGAGCGACAGTGAGTAAAAAACAAAGAAAATGCGGTATAGCATGACTAGCCCTAATTTGATTATTATAGTTCTACTATTATTGGATCGCTTTGCAGGTTCTGCTTCAAATTATGGTAAACAAAAACAATGTGATCTTTATGTAGAAATCGTAATAATCTGTACATGATTTGTCATCAATATTATTATTTAAAAGAAGAAAATTCCTACTGCCAGTAAAATAGTATCAGATCAAAATACTCCGAATTGGAAAGTAAACCAGTATAATTACTGTCTGCTCTCCTCCTCTCTTAGGGGAAATGTAGGCCGTAATGACATCGAAATTAGAACACACTGAAGGCTTTACTACTAGTAAAGGTTACCTAGCTAGGCTAGCTTTACACGACATGATTGATCTAATAAGGTAGGAAATAACAAAACAATAAATTTATAACAATATTGTTTATTAGTAAATTGCAACATTGCTCACGTGAAAAGCTGGTAAACTATATTTCAATTATGTTTACGCATTGTTTATCAGCCCAACGATCCAGCCTACGATCATTGCAAAGCTAATTAAAATAACAATGACCTTCGTAGTGATTACGAGAGGTTACGCGCAGATACGAAGCGACAAGTCACAGCTGCACTGTACTATAACATACAATTCAGTTTTAACTGCAATGAGGTGTTAATGAGTGGTTTAAATAAATAAATAAATCGTTAAATAAATAAATCTTAATAAATAAATCTTAAATCTAATGACAACAATTGTTGGCACACAGTAAATTTTGCTTTACTGTTCAGGCAATAATGATTTAAATTCAAATTTATTGGAGCATTAGGATTTATAAACAGCAGTACTCTCCACACATTGTTTAGAATTGTATGTCAATGAAACGCGAGTTGGCTACTATACTATAAAATTGACTTTGATAAATGTCATCTAGCTGTGACACATCCAGCTGTGGAGCTATACGTGGATGGGTTTTATGTCAAACATTAAAGTAGGTCTAATGTACAGTACTTGATGAAAAGTATGCGTATCGTAGGTATGCAATGTTTTAATATCATAAACACTGCAGGAAGATTCTCTGTGGTCTCCATACGAGTGAACAAAAAAAAAAAAAAAGAAGCAATTTGGTATCTGTACCCGAGTAAATTCTCGGAATGAAAAGATTTCTTGTACAACTCCGCATCTTTCAGTCAGTGAAGGCCCAATAATATGCCTTTGGGGTACGTTGCATTTTTTAGGAGGCAAAATTGATAATTAAGATATCTGTTTTTCAGTAGAATGCTGATATATAGAAACTGGTTATTTATTACTTAGATCATTTTATCTCTTCCCAGTAGCTAATCTTTAAAGGTAGGTACATAATATTGTTGAATTTTACATAATATTGTTCAATTTTAATTTAACTTGTATTTAAAAATATATATATATATATATATATAAAAAAAAAACCGCATTTGTATCATGTTGTATCATGAGAACTATAACACAGCTGTGGCCTTGAAGTTTTCTTTGAAAAGGATGTAATAAAGTTTATCTGTATGTTAACTTATAGAGAGCATATTGTGGAGACCTCTATCTGCTTAAACTTGAAACGTGAAAGGAAAAACGGACCAGGATTAGCTTTTGTATGGAAAAGATAAGACTAAGGTTAGTAAAAAATATGGGCAACCCACTGCATTTGCATCAATCAGCAGACAGTATTGTGTGGAGGAATTTTGTGTTGCTTATCAAAATATTCCCGTACAGCAGCAGTTTGATCCATCAAAACATCAATTTTTCATTACAACTTTGATCTCTACACTGTGGTTTGTTGCTTGTCTCGTTTGTATGTCTGTTTAGTCTACTTTCTAGAATACACAAACATAACCTAAAATGCTATTAGCATTTTTGAATTATATTAATATTTCAATATTATTTGTTTTAATAGATCATACTATCATACAAGTTGGTTTTTTTTTTGCATATTTTTTTTTTGTCAATTTTTTACTTTCCTAAAGGAACATTACCAAAGTGGGGTACCTTGGCGTATTGAAATGGGGTTTTGGTTGGGTTGGGAGAAGGGGTTGCAAAAATCGGGGAGCAGCTGGATAAATAAGGCGATACAGCTGGATAAATAAGGTGATAAGATTATGAGGTGATTTTTTTTTCCAGTGGGGAAGAATTATTTTGGGAGGAGTGGCAACACAACATCGCAAAGCAAGTTGTGAAATTACATTATAAATATGTATTATTATTATGGCTTTACAAAAATACATAATTCTACAATATATACTGTACATAAACTGAAACATTATCTTAATGTTATTTACAACACATCCACCAGGAATACCATTCCCACCCCCACAAAATTATCAACTTGAACATAAAAATAGTCTAAAAAATTGTTTACCCCTAAATTTTTACAATTTTGGAAGTGTTTTTTCATTTTCATTATCCAGTTAAAAAATCAGGGTCTAATTCTCAAGTTAAAAATGGGTATGTTAGGCCAGGGAGTTGTTATATAGGCCTACTGCAAAACAGCGGTGGCTCCAGATATTTGCCGACAAGGGGCCTGACATGTCTGGCGGAGGGGTCTGACCCAATTAGGGGGCTGACTAGAGCCTCAGCCAGGGTTCCGGAATAAAAAATCCCTGGTAGTAGTGTAAGGAGAGCTTTATGGTTCAGAATGCTCCAAATTGAGCTTTTAGATTACAATAGAAATAGGCCCTATTTATTAGCCAATCAAAATAACATTCAATTCAAATTTGGCGTCGGACATGTTCATGGGGGTCTGGGTCTGAGGGGAATTCCCTGCCCCAGTCCTTTCCCATGGCGCCACCACTGCTGCAAAATAAGCAAATTAATTTCAAAATCATTTTTTATGAATGTTTTGTTGTATTCTGGCGACAATACATAGGCCTAGACCTTTAATTGTTGTATTTAGATCCTGGACTGGTGTAGGAAGCTAGGCCTAGGCCTAGCTACAATACATCAGATGCCAAATTAACTGAATAATTTTACGAATTATTTTCTTTGGTGGTCTTCTTTGCTTACCTTTCGGCTTCGATCTGCAAATGGCAGGGCAAGCCATGGCATACTCTTGTAATATTCGTCGAACGCTTGCTCATCACGATCAGAACTGACAAAGACAATCTCAAAAACATCTTTTTTCTCACCAAGCTTCAATGTGTTGTGAAATTCACTCAGTTTGGGTGTGAAGTTCCGGCAAGGTCCACACCAGTGTGCCGAAAAATACAGGCCAACTACCTTTCCTTCCCCAACTAGAGAGGTAACGTCGATCAGTTCCCCCGACTTGTTAAGTAGCTTCTCACCCAACAACTTGACAAGAGCCATTTTTAAGCAGTTACACAAACAGAGAAGTCTCCAAAGGCAAGTTAATCTACGAATGAGATGAGGCAGCGCAGTCTCTTTAATGTCAATAAGGAAAGTATTGAGCTAAGGTCTTTTCTAGAATCGCATCATTGCACACCCATCATGTATGGAAAGCCAAAAACACATATTATCCGTTACCAATTAACATTGGTTTGATTAATATATTAAACATTAGTTAATGACCCTTAGTATATATGACACGTATATATGTTTCTAGGCAACTATACTAAATCTTTGATTGCCAAAACAATTAAGTATTTTCGTAATTTAACGCAATTTGGCGTGTATTTGCCCTATGTGGCGTGCCACTTGTCATGATTCCTGAGGGCGCTGTAACAGTTTAACTTTTTTCAGCGCCTGTATTGCAACCTCTCGACAAGGGCTTTCATTTGAAACAATTCAGTGTCCAAATTGCAATGCACGTCAGTTATAAACACTTCCATCTGTAACTGGCATTACAACAAAACGAAATAATTGTTAGTACAGAGATTTGTTATGGATTTCAGATACACTTGTATCTGAATTTCTCTCTAATTTTTTTATAGGTTTTTTTAAAAATTGAAAATCATAAAACAAGATAAAATTTTCCTTGCTAATTAATACAATGCGGATATTTAAGAAATACCATTCCCAAATTTTTTTTTGCGTATACATTTTAGTCCTTAAATTTCTGTCATTTTTGTTGTAAAACGTCTGTAAACCATTTTTCCAAATATACTTTGTCATTCGTCAATATAATTCGATTAAGTACCATTTTTAGTTCCCGAATTTTGTGTTACGTTTTAAATTATATTAATCATTGTTGAAACGATCTATCGATTGTATAAGATGCTATATAAATGCAACGTACTATAATTACTTTACGGTAATAAAAGTTGATTTGGTTCATTTAAATGAGCATGTTGGGTAGGGCAAAACATCACTCCTATGAAATTCTCCTGACGAAAACTCACATCGAAATAGTATGTTCTCCTTTAACACAGACGAGGGCCTGGTCGTTGAGAGTGGGCTTTGAAGTGTTTCCTTAGGCCTACCATGTAGCGGTAGGATTAGAGAAGCTAAGTTTTAGCCATTTAATCTCTTATCTAATTTATTTAACACTTGGTTTTCGAAGGAAATAATAATCACACAACACTAAACACATACATATTATTATTGTAAATTTATTCTTTTTATGATCCTTAACAAACTGTTAATACATTTCTCTCATTCTTAATATAACCAAATAAAAAGTCCAACTTACTGAGTCATGACACAACAAGTGCATGCAAGAACACCATCATCAACACAAAAAAAAAAACAAACAAAAAAATCCCCCAAAAAACTATAATAATAATAATAACAATTGCTCTTAATTCTATAATCGTTAAATGCAGTAATAAAATATAAATAAAATAAAGAAATATTGTATAACAATTCTCCTAATACTACAAATGTAAATATACTGGGGTGGATGCATAGGGTTACATACGGTGCTATCGCACCCCCTAAAATGTACAGTGCACACTCCAATCCAAGACCCCTCTAATTCAAGACCCATTTTTCAAACAACTGAAATAACAATCTTCAATATTTTAACACAAAGCTAGCTCTCTAACTGGGGACTGAACGACGAGACCACACAAATTTTCAGGCCCCAACGGTGGTCTCGAATTGGAGAGGGAACTGTATTAAGGAAAAAATAGACGTTGTATTATATTGTTGATATGAATTACCGGTAAAATTTTTAAGGTATGTGAGTGCAGTTTCTGGGCACCTAGAGGTTCATATTCTCAAAATTTTCACACCTCAGCCCCACCATGTTGCGGACTGGACTCTCATGCCCTACCGCCAAATCCTGCATGCCAGTTGTTTAATTTATAAATCATATAAATCAAAGCTTGACTTGGTAAGCTTTAACTTAAAAATATTAATTTACTTTGTAATCATCCTATCCTTCATGTCTCAAATATTAAACACTAAATTATAACACACTTCATTAGTTTTCCTGATTCAAGACAATATTTAAATCCAACAACCTAATTTAATAATATATGTACATAATACATACAACAAATCAAAATGGCAAATTGATATTACAATACTGTATTTAGAAAAGCAATGCCAGATGAAAGTAACAATAAAACTAATTAATTAAATTACATAGAAAATATACATTAAATTTAAAAAAAAAACCTGATTGCATGTATTTGTAAACAAATCTCTTATTAGGTCTAATTTTAGGAACAATGTACTTATACATACATAACAAAATTAAACAAAAAATTAATAGTATTTGGAAAAGTATGCCAAATAAAATAACAATGGAACTACTATTCAAATACTATTCAAATTAATGGAAATTATAATATATGAAAGAAAAAAAAACTATTGCATGTTGTACACAAAACAATTACTCAAATTTCTTATTAAGTTTAATTTAAATAGTTTTTATTCATTTACAAAAATATTTTCAATTTATAGAAGGTGCAAGTCCAATTAAAGCACATTTAATTTTGAAAATTGGAATTGATCACACCTGTAGTTCTATGTGGTAAGCATAAAAGTGGAAGAATGTGGTGTAACAGCAAAGGATCTGGACTTCCAATTGATTTGAGTCTTAAACTGGTTAAGTTGTTTTTGCCCGTTGCTCAAACCACTTAAATCACAGTCTCTCTCTATCAAGTAGCATTAAGTGAGAAAAGCTTGTAAGCTTAGAAACAAATACAAAACCCACACCCTATGGGAAATAAGTCCTTGGACTATATGGGTAATCCAGACATCTCAACTTTTAATGTATTTGAAGATTTGTTTTTAACGTTGCTTCTTTGTACAGGAAAGTTTGTACTGTAACGGGCTGAACATGTTTTTCTCGCGTATTTGGGAACGTTTGTACCAAATATTCAGTATGATAATACGTCAGGTAGGGCAAAATATCATTCCTGTGGTTCTTTGTACTTGTTTCAAATTGATTTGTAATTGTTATTTTTGATGACAAATAAAGTCAACACCTGACAAGCTGTTATACATTATGATAACTCACTAATTCAGGAAGATGTGAGTTTGTCATAGATGTTTGATCGAATGAAATTTTCTAACTGGGGTCCAAAAAGTCTGACAGGGGGAGGGGGCAACAAAACCAAGGGGGCCACCTAGAGTATTGGTCAGGGCCCTGGAATAAAACCCTGGTGGGGTTTTACGGAAGGAGATTTTACGGTTTAGGAAGACTTTAAAATTGTGACTTGTAGATGACGATTAATGGATTGAAAATCACAATAACTTTGTATTAGCAGGTAACTTAACTTTAGTCATTTAATATAGTCAATTAAAAAAACATTTTTTCATCCATCCCAGATATCAATGACAAGTTTAACAACTATAATTAAAATTATAATTATTATATTTTAATAATATATTGGGAGTGGAATTATTTATTAGCTCAATCAGGTATGGTATTAGCTGTTGTTGTATCTGATAAAGTGTTAAAAACATTCACATTAATCTTCTCATTCATTGTCCACAACATACTTGTCAATATTTATTAATAACATAATATATTATATTAATAACATGTACATTTGTTCTACTTAAATTATAACAGGATCAGAGAGTAACTTCATTAGCCATTATATATTATATCATTAATAACTATAACATCTACTGTACCATAATTTTCAAAAATAACAGCAATAATATAAATTCATGAAATTAATAATATCTGGATTATTATAATTTCATTGGGCGCAAGATGAATTTTGTAAACAGGGGTCTATCAAATTATTTATTCTTAACAAATGCCTTCCGACTTTTTTCAAGTACTACACGAGATGTAGTCGTAAAATTTCCAATGAATAGTAACAAGAAAATCGTTCCGGCTGCACCAACCTGAAATAACAAAAAAACATTATCATAAGCCTTTAGCAGGCCATGAAAACCTTTTACATATACAGCATATGCCATAACTGTTACACCATATATACAGCACATGTCGTAACCATTACACCATTAAGGCTTAGTAGTGAATCGATGTGCCAGTAGCTACGTTAAATTGACTAAAAATATACATGTATCTAATTCTCATATGGACAGAGATAGAAAAAGAACTATAGTTCATATATTATTTAACGTTTATAAAATTTTAATCGGCTATTGTGTGTATAATTTATATACAACAAACATACTCAAGTTACTGTTAATAATCAAATACAGTAAGCAAAAAAGCACATTTTTGAAGGCTTCTTGGCAGTGCTTTCTATAAGAGCCGGCTATTTTTGAGCAGCATTTATTAGAAATTATTGGTCGGATAAAATTGTATGTTGTATAAAGACCCATCTGAAATGTTACATTATTATCATTCTGTTAGAAAATCAGATAAATAAAAGTGTTCAGATGATACAAAATTTCAAGGAACTTAAAATTGTATTCTCCTCGATGTATATTCAAAATAGAATCATGTTTGTTGGAGTGTATATCTGACAATGTTGTTTATTCAAGAAAGATGATTATTCGATCATTTTTTTCTAACCACATTTATAGACAATGATCCTAGAAGGTTGGCTGATATTCAGGGACCCCCTTAAGTAAATGAAAATAGTGTGATGCCTTTATCAGCGACGTCTCTTTAAGAGGCTTAGCTTAGGCTTAGGGTGTGGAGTTGTTTTTAGTCGTGAGAAAAAGTACTACTGTCACAGGAATTGAACCCAGGATTCTGGGATTAGAAGGCAAGCATCTTAACCACCAAGCTATTCAACTCTACTCTAAACTCACCATCCATTCTTCACATTGAGGATGTCTTGAGAGTTCAAATAATTTGTATGCATTATAAAGCTGGAAAATCTGTGGCAATAAAAAAAGAAAAAAAACCCACAAGATTATTTTTAAGGCAGTAGCTATTGTTTCACCAGTCTTATAAACAAATTCCTAATAGTGATTGGATGTTATTGGTCGTATTGCCAGATTTATCTGGCCGAACGCCCTCTTGAGGCATAGCATTGTGTAATACAATGTTCCCGACGGTTATTTGGATCTGTTCAACCATAAAGCCTTCGTAGTCTAGTGGTTATGACGCTCACCTTGAGGTCGCAGGTTCGAATCCTGTCGGAGCATTTTATTACACAATGACTTTTATAGGACTTTATTCGTTGAAAAGCTACAGGGTAGCCTACGATGTTCCATCATGTCCTCATTTAAACACTGTATATGTACCTTTGACGATTTATATTATACTTTTTCAACAGTGTTAACGGCTAACTCTCTTCAATATCATATATTATTATACGACAGTATTTCTAGCCGTATTGCCAGATTTATCTGGCCGAACGCCTCTTGAGGTGTAGCATTGTGTAATACAATGTTCCTGACGGTTATTTGGGCCTGTTCAATCATGAAGCCTTCATGGTCTAGTGGTTATGATGCTCGCCTTTCAGCGAGAGGTCGCAGGTTCGAATCCCGTCGGAGGCATTTTATTACACAATGACTTTTATAGGACTTTATTCGTTGAAAAGCTACAGGGTAGCCTACGATGTTCCGTCATGTCCTTATTTAAACAATGTATATGTACCTATATATATATATATATATATATATATATAATTTGAACATTAACAAAAAATATAACAATGTACATACATAAGTCAGGTAAAGAAATGGAAGAATAAACTGAAGACCTCTCCACATCCATCTCTGAAAACCCTCTAGAAACAATAATAAAAAAAAAAACGTTGATCAGAAAACGAAACGCATCTACAACACTAAACCTGGAATGCATGGAAGCAAATGTCCGAAAATGTAATGCTACACTTACCAACCGTAATATCCATATCGCGTTTTTCACCCAAAGCTCTAAGGCGGTAAAGACAACCACTTTGGTAATAGTATTGAAGCAGCTGCACAAAGCCTGAAATGAAGACAAAAAACACTGTCAGTTCAAATACTGTAAATATAGCATAAACATCCCAATTAGTTTTTAACAATTTAATCATGTCGTTTTCATCTATCTATTTAGGTATAAAAATACTTTAAAAACAGTACAGTAAATAATCAAAGTTTACAATATCATTATATACACCTATAAAATTTAAAATATTATTTAAAAATGAATTAATACATAAATAAGAAAGTTAATATTAAATAAAAGCATCATTGTGCCTAGAATAATAATTAATATCCTAATTTTTCCAAAACTGCACAAAAACAAACAAAATAGAAAGAGAACAAAGGAGAAACAAAGTTCTTATACTAATATAGTATTATTTATTGTTGATGTGTGTATATTTATGTAAATTCTATTGGGTGATTTTTCTTGTAGATTATTACAAATGATATTTTAAGCAGCTAATAATATTAAATATTTCCTACAGTATTTATTTTTTTCACACAAAAACAGGATAATGTATTTGACAGAAACGTGAAAATACTGAAGATATCATTATGAACAAAGTGACCAATTAGAGGCTTAATTTAAACATGTTACCCATAAAATTATTGTCACAATTTAATTAAAGGGAATTTATAATACAGATATTGAACTTACTCATATACATAGAAAACATCATGAACTGACTTCTAAATAGTTTGTAAGTAACACTATCTGGCCATATAAGTAGAGTAAGACTTAACACCACACTAAGGTAGTGATGGGTTACCCACCACCCTTTTATTCTGCAAAATAATAAAAGTGATAACATAAATATTAATCATAGAAAGACTATATGCATGTTAATTAAATTTTTAATCGGTTTCTTAAAAGACTTAACACCACACTAAGGTAGTGATGGGTTACCCACCACCCTTTTATTCTGCAAAATAATAAAAGTGATAACATAAATATTAATCATAGAAAGACTATATGCATGTTAATTAAATTTTTAATCGGTTTCGCCTTCCAGATGACTAAAAAAAATAAAGATTACATATGCAAATTAGACTCTGAAAAGGAAATGTATAATTACACATATTTGTACATCATATTTATTTTACTGCTAATTTGTGAAATTATGTTACAAAAATGATCACCTTAAATGAAAGTAGAGGAGGAGAACATCTCACAGAAGACCATGAAGAACAAGAGCATAAACGATAGCCTCCTGGAATATTTTTTAAGCCTGAAGAAAAAGCTGACATGTTTAATAACTATTTTCACTCAATCTTCAATGCTGGTGGTCCATCTGAAGATCTTCCCCCTCTTCCCGACTATCCTCTTGGTAAACTTCACTCTATTCCTATTGAGAGATCCCATATCGCTGATCTTCTTAAATGTATTGATACACGTAAAGCTCCTGGTAATGATCTTATGCTTAACAAAATTCTCAAACTTGGTGCCGACCCTTTATCTTATCCTCTTAGCCGTATCTTTTATCAATCGTTTTATCAAGGTCAAACCTCTGATTGGCTCACTGTACTTTCAGGAGTTCCTCAAGGCTCGATCCTTGGCCCCCTCCTTTTTAATATTTTTATCAATGACCTTCCTCCTAATTTGTCCTCCTCTTGCTTACTCTCTGCTGATGATCTCAAACTTTTTAAAACTATTGCTTCTCCTAATGATTCCAATTCACTTCAGAATGATCTTTGCAGTCTCTTTAGTTGGACCACTACATGGAAGCTTAGTTTAAATTTACCTAAATGTAAAGTAATGACAATTACCAACAAAAAACGATATATCCAATATGCATATAATATCAATAATCACATTCTTGAAAGAGTTGACCATCATAAAGATCTTGGTATTATTATTGACTGTCATTTAAACTTTATTCCTCAAGTTAATGCCATAGTTAGTAAAGCTAATAGAATGCTGGGTATGATACGTCGTAACTGCTGGTGTTTTAAAAATTCTGAAACCTTGATTAAACTATACATATCACTTGAGTATTGTAGTGTTGTAACTAATTCGTTTTCTTCTACTCATAGTACCCGTCTTCAAAAGGTTCAGGATCGTTTTGTTCGTTTTGTTTATTCTACTTGTCATTGTCATGTGTTGTCAGTTTCCCTCCCTTCTCTCGTTTCTCGTCGTTCTGTCTTTGATCTTCAGTTTCTGTATAAGTGTGTGAATTCTCTGTTTGATTGTAACTTTATTTCCTTGTTCTCCTTTCATGTTAAAGCTATTGGATGTCGAACACGTAATTCTAAATGTAATCTGCTTTATGTTCCATTTTGTCGTGTCAATGTTACCAAAAATGGTTTTATTTCACATATTTGTCTTCTTTTTAATAACTGTGTTGTCAAAGACAACTCTATTGACCTTTTCTTTGAGTTATGGATGTTTTTGTAAGAAAATTTGTAAAATTGTATAAGATGAATTATTGTTACTGTTATTATTATTATTATTATTATTATTATTATTATTATATTAATCATATTGTCATATTTTAATGTTTAATATTTTAATCCATTCTGTAAGTGGCAGGTTTCCCGCTGTAGAATGAGAGTGTAAATAAACAAATAAATAAATAAATAAATATATTTCTTTGGGGGAAATAAATGGAATGATCTGCAAAAAATGTCTGTGATTCTATGGGTTGCTCTCTGGACCCAGTTTATTTGTGTGTGTATTTACAATTTAAGCAAAATCTTTACCTTGATCCATTGTGTCGTAGAATACTCTCACGGATGACTAGAGTACAGTAATACCAAACAAGTAGGAAATGGAAAATTGCATCTATAAATCTTTAAAAAAAAAAATGTACTTTAGTTACTGTCTTTGATTAATCAAAACACATGGTCTTCAAATAAAAAAACATACAAATTTATTTATTTTGATGTTGTTTGCATAAGGAAATTTAATCAGAGTGATGTTTTTCCTACCTGACATGGTATCGTATTCTCAGTACGTTCCCAAATACTTAAGAAAAAATCCTGAAAGTTATTCAGGTGGAAATCAAACCCATGACCTCCAGATAAGTAGCCTGATGTCATAACAACTAGACCACCAAGCTTACACTTAGTGGATAGTGTTGATAGTGTAGCAGCAGGTACTACAGTACAAAACCATAGTAGGGCAAAAACATTATACAAATTTAGCTGAGCTTTTGGTTTGATACTGCCACACTGATCTATCATATATATGTAAATCATTTCTATTCTGTACCCCAACAAACACACAAAATAGCTCTAAAGCCATGAAAACAAATCTCAATTTGTGTTACAGGCTGGCAGACATGCAGACAAGATTAGTAGGTAGCACCACATGAAATATCCATCAATTATAATACGCCCACTGAACAAAATGTTAAAAATTGATCAGATCATAATAGACCTTAGTAGATCAAACTATGATCTCCTCATCTGTTTTTAGGTTGTTAGTTTGCATGCATTTTATCATTCTTGACAAAACCTAAAAGGAAATGCAGAGTTGAGTGTATGCAGGTATACCATTCTAAACCTTTTTACATATTTTAAAATAGTGCAATATTAATCAACTCCCATTCAAAGTAACAATATAATTTACAACATAAATTACAATACACTTTCACTCTCAAATTAGCATTGCTATTAATTAAGTGTGTGCACTGAAGCCAAGAAGCTCATTCACCCAAGGGTGCTAAGCTATACTGTGCGTGTATGTGGAGGGGTTAGGTAGGAGGCTTATTCAAGTGTATAATTTAATTAGCTTCTGGGCACTTATTTGCTAGTCATTACAATTTTTAACAACAATGCTGTCAGGTTATGCTATCTATACTTATATAATGTACATTAAAAATAATTAATATTTTATATTAATGTTTTGCTGGATTTAACATATACTGTACCGTACAAGAATTTCCATGGACCATGCACATTTTAGAAAATGAGTGGGACCCATAAGAAATTATCATGCAAACATGTTTGCACTAGGTCTGACTCTTTAACTGTTTACAAGCCCTCCGCTCAAATCAAATAAAAACAATCAATTATCGAGTCCAAAGATGAGGAAAATAAACAGCTGTTATACGGTGTCTATTGTATTCCGACTGATTGCCTTTGTTAGAGAATATATTGTTAATAATAGAATATTAATAGTACCTGATGCCAGACACAAAGCTCTGGAGGAGAGACACAACAAATACAATTAAACTGAGATACAGTTTAAATATTTCATACTGTTCCTTATAGTTGAGTCTAGTAAAGAACAATAGTGTAGTTAGAACATGCAACAGAAAGAGTTACTAAGCTTAATAACATGCAGACGTTAGTGCTTTGCAAATTACATACTGGTATACAGTAGAACCCTTCTTTTGGGACATCCCTAATAAGGGACACTTTTTCAGGTAATAATCAAGGGAAAGTATATCTTTTAACATTATAGCCAACCCCTATTCAGGGACACTTTTTTTGGTCCTGAAGCTGTTCTACTGTACTTTAAAACCAAGGGTTTGAGTTACACAAAAAAGGGGAGATTTGGCAGCTGGGGCAGTGCTGCACATGCTCTTTGAAGATATGCCACCAAATAATTAAAAAAAAAAAAAAACTTCAAAAATTTAAATAAAACTTTTAATTGAACTGCGTTTTATCAACTTTTAAATAATCACAGATCAAAAAAATCAATTTTCAATACAACAAATCCTTAAATTTGCTCTCAAAAATTGAAGTGTATATAAAAAGATTATATAAGAATATTATTATTAAAGCGTAGGTTTTTATTTGTAAGATAACTGATTCAAATACACAAATTTAGCTTTTCAATATTTTTTGAGTTTACATTAGATTTTAGTAGCAGTATATCTTTCATAATTGAATTATTAAAGAAAAATTAACCTTACTGTAATACAGCAAGGTTAATTTTTCAGATGTTAGAAACAGGGTTAACACAACTAGTGAATTAATCCATAATATTCCTACCTTAGTTCTATAAAACCATATAGCAAAATTGCAAAAATTTGGGTAATCAATGATAAATTCAGCTTAAAACGTTCATACTCTTCCTTATAAGATAATCTGAAATGATTATGAAATGAATGAAAATTGTATGAAAAAGGAAAATGTAGAGGAATGACATTTAGTTTTTAACTGAAAAAAATGAATGTTTTAGCTTTACACGTATGATATAATACAAATTTATTTTGTGGTGATGATATATATTTGCTTATTTAGTCTTGAGACTACAGAAACTTTATTTCAACCCTCCATCACAAAAAGTGAGCAGCTATGGAATTGAACCAAAAACCTGATGGTCCCGCTAGTTCAGTACATGATAAAAAGAAGAAAAATGTGGAACAATAAAGTAATAAGAATAGTATGCAGAACGTTAAAATCTCTTTTAAAACTAGAATTTTTTATCTACTGTTCTGCTACATAGTTTTAGTAACTGCATTTATATTTTTGAAAAATTCTCAACTTGATTCTGTTTACGTTTGGATTAGTAGTTTCTGTCTAATGTACTGCATGAACTTGTTTCATTGTTTACATGTAAAATGTATTGAGACAAAGAAATGAAATGGAAATGAAAAATGAAATTCTAAATTTGGATCGAAATATACATTTTCATACACTAATCAAGTCATATTTTTTCAGTCATGTGAAAATACTACAGAAATAATAAACTTGTAGAATGTACTTACCTGTCTGCTCTTGTAAGTAATGAAACACTCACTCGGCCCAATATCACACTTAGGAAAGTACTATAAAATAATCATGAAATACAAAAACATATAAGACAGTACTATAAAATAATCATGAAATACAAAAACATATAAGACAGATATTCAGTTTCAACATCTTTGTGAAATTCATATATTATAATATGTCTTTGTTCATATGTTTATGTTTCCTTCATTGTATCATTTTTTTTTGCCTCTTCATTTCTCAAATGTATATTGCTTATGTCAAAATCTTATATACAAATTTGAAACTTTGATTTATAGGTGAAAAAAAGAGTAACTTGAAGAAAAGGCACATTAAGATGACTAGAAACAATACAGTGTAGTTATAGGCTGGTGGTTAAGTTAATCACATTTCAATGCCACAATCCATGGTCCAAATCATGCACTTACCAGGATATTTTTCTCAACTAAACACAACCCAAACTCCACAAATCTCATATTGACACTATAGTTAAAAGCATCAAATCACATGCTGAGAAAAAGTTGTAATTGGTAAATTAGAATTCATGACCCTGGGATTGGAAGGCATGCAACATAACCTCTAAAAGTGCTTCAGCTTCACAATAGAACATTTTACAGCAATGATAAAAACTCAATCTTGTTTAAATTGATTGCATCTGAGATGGTTTTACCATAATTGATTTATAGCAGTTTCTTTATTAAGTGCGGTTTCTTTATTAAGTAGCATAGAGGGACGGGTCATCTTAATGAACCTATACAATGCATAGAGAGCATGCAGCGACACATCTAAGATGTTCATTATCATTCCTTTGTGAAGATTGTAAATATTTAATTAAAATTTGCAATCTTTGTAAAATAAGTAATCATTCGCAAAGGCATTGCATGACGCTCTATCCAGCATTATCGGACGTATTATTATCATCATCATCATCTCTCTCATTATTGTGTCATAATTACTATTTCCCTATCATGAGGCAAACTTACCTGTTTGGTTTTGGCAAGCTTTCCGTAACTTCTTGACAATCACTCTTGTTCTTCTGTATATTTTTTTTTAACTCATTAACTTTAACCTGGTCTTCTCCACTCAGATCTAATCCTTTCCTTTAATTAAAATTAAAATTAATTGTTTTTTTCAATTATTGTATTTTACTTAGTCTAAGTGTTGGCTACATCTATTAATTAAGGTGGTCTTATTACATGGAGGGGTATTCTTTTGAGGAAGAGAACAAGCAATTAGTTGGTTTATCCAGGTACGTATTCACAAAGTAGATTTCTCAAACTGTCTAATGTTTTATACATGAAAAATATCAATTGTTGGTAGGGCTGTAACATTACTATATTATAAAGGCAGATTTTGTTTTTTTGGTGACTATCATGCATGGATTCACAGCTTTCAAGCTCAACCTGCTATTTTAAGACAAATTAAACAATTTAGCTGCATTCAATTTACCATTATATTGGAGTTAAGTGGGTACGTTTATCATTCATAATAACATTCTGCTTTCTTCTTGGCTGTTCCGTGGCAAAACAACGTAACTTGAAATTTTCACTTTTCAAGGAAAAATAGAGTTAAATTTTGCATGTTTGCAACTTGGCAATAAATTGTAGTACCCTTGTGAAATTTTGCATGACAACAGTATATATCTACAGACATTATGCTTATATGTACATTTTTAATTACAACCATTGGTTTATTGCAACGTTATTAAAGATATTCACAGATACGTTGTTTTACCACAGAAACTTGTCAGGTACAGTATTGTCGTATGTACGTCATATTTTAAATTTATCACGTCTGGGGCAATCATATGCATTATCTAGTTTTTGCATATGTCGTTGCTATGATTATTGATATGAAAACACTATCAACAAGTTTTGCTGTGCCAAACTCTATCAGCCCAAAATATTTTTTTAATTCCATTCCGAGACAAAACAACGTATCTTCATCGTACTGTAGATACGTTGTTTTGTTACGTAATCTGGCTGTTATGTTGTTTACCACGAAAAATCACTAGATTTTAAGTTTTGTGCTTAAAGATAGATGGTGCTATCTCCGAAACCACTCATGGTTGACAGCTGAAATTTTCACAGGTCAGAAGTGTTTAATATACTCCCAAATGATATTATCTCAAAATGGATAAAAATGTCAGTTACGTTGCCTCGTGACAGCCGATTTTTCTTTTTTTTTTAATTTCTTTCTTCTTTTTTTCTTGATTATAAATTCTCATTATTGTTGATGTTGCTTTTTTACTATAGATTCTAGTGGTGGTCCCATATACTGAAATTGCAAGTACTGTACTTCAATTAACAAAATCAGTTTGATAATATGCTATATACTAAAATCTCTAAAATTGTTCATCACCTGTTGAGTGCTGATAGAAGGAGTTTGTATCTCTTTTGTTGATGGTTAACTTTTGACATACATCTTGCCTGCAACGATTTGAGCTCTTCCAGCTTCTTTAAGTATATTTCATGTTCTTCCTGAAATGATTTAAAAAAAGCAGGTAGCAATATGGTCAAGTACTTCACAATATAAGGATTTTTTTTTTTGTGCGGAGGATATCTCGAAAACCAACTCAAATTTGAGCAGGAAATCACTTGGATAATAGGTGCGCAGAATTGTAAACCTGCTTATACATTGGTTGCTGAGAGAAAACCAAGGTCTAATTTTTGGCAAATATTGAGTGAAAAGCAGCCCTTATTTTCCGAAATGCACGGATGGAATTCTAGGCCTAACTTTTGTGCGGGGGATAATAAAAAAAATAATAATTTTGGCTTATATAGCACATTATGCTTAAGCCTCAATGTGCTTCCCAATAAAAATAATAGGCATATATTCCCCGCGGAAGCCATATTTTACAGTCTGGTATTAGGTCTACAGTACTTTACTGTAGCAAATTCAAAGCCTTATTTCAATTTTGAGTGAGGGGTGACAGTAAACATTTATCAAGGCAGTGGCTATTGTTACAGCAGTCTTGAAGAAACTCCTAATTGATTGGATGTTAATGAGAATTAGGAATTCATTATTAATTACAACTGGACTGATGTAACAATCTGTACTGGCATTGCATAATAAAACGACATGAAAAAAAAAATAAAATTGTCAATGTAAATAAATGATATTATAAATATTAATTATTAATATTAGACTAAAGGGTCATATAAAAAATTAACACTGGCACTAGGTTCTTCTACTGGGTTGGGTTGGGGACAATAGTACTAGGCCTAGGCCTACTTGCTTATTAACAACAAAGAAAGGACGTCTAGGGCCAGGCCGGTAGGCCTACTGTCTGTAGGTAGGGCCGCCTACCTGGCCAATAACCTGCCTACACGCGTCGTAGGCTAGCTGGCCTGGCCCTAACTAATAGTGAAGTAGCCTAGGCCTCGTATAGTGTACAGTAAGTAGAGAGGCTAGGCCTAGCCTAGCCTAGCTAGTAGTCATCATCCTTACAAGGCCTAGACGGCCTAGCCTAGGGCCTAGGCCTAGTAGTAGGGCCTAGGGTAGGCCAGGCTAGGCTCAGGCCTAGGGCTGGCTGTATTACCCAAAACTTACTTTTAAAGTGTGGAATTCTTTTCCAAGATTAGAAAATTCTTCTTCCACTCGAGTAATGCCAGTATTCTCCATACTGTCCCTTGTGTGGTTCAATCAAAGAGTATATTGACTTTCATTTGTGGAAAAGGGAAAAGGGGTGGATGCGAAATTTGACCTTTGGCCTTTCATGATGGGACGTTGTTGGTATAGTTATGATCATTCAAAATGATGTAGAGAAAGTAGGTGAAAGGAACTAGCATTTTGAATATTCTCCGTTTGAATCCTAGTAACTACAAAAATCAAGTGTTGGTGTGGGAAGCACATGTGTATTTTTGAGATATTAAAATATAAAATAAAATGGCATTTAAATTACAGAATGTTTCGAAAGTAGCATATCGTCTTTTAACAAGCGTAGTAAAGAGCTCAAGTTTATCGGCTTCAAGCAAAATAGTATGTACTGGCTTTAAAGACGTGAATACTACAACAAGGGCTTTCACAAGATCATTATGGTATGCATCGAACCCAGGCGGTGGAACACAAGGGATGAACGTACCGCCTGAAATGGGAGGAATTGTTGGTGTTAGGGGACCATCACATTTATGTGCATGTGGGTGTGCTGGACTTCATACAGAAGGTAATGTTTTTAATTTAAGAATTCCATCAAAAAGTAGTTGGCAAATTTAAAATCAAATTGCTTAAATAGATTGTGATCTTTTTTTTTTTTACACAAACTACTTAAAATAAATGAAAATGTGTAAGTTTGTTTCAAACAATAATATTGTATTGAAACCCTCAACGTCATTCCATACAGAACCTGAAGCAAAAGCAACTGTTTTTAATAGGCATTTTACGCAGCAGGATGGGTGGATGGTGGTTTGTGCGCATCGGAGCATGACACAGTAAACAATAGGGCGCTTAATTGCCATTTGTCAACAGCTCCCCCCTTCTCAGATCTGCTCAGACTCCCAGGACAATCAGCATGCTGTCTTTAACCACTCATACAGAGAGCAGAGATGGATTCGTCGGCCAACAGTCATACGACGCACACTGTGTGCCCGGCTTAATAGACATTTGACTGAGCGAGACTGTATAGTATTAGTAAGGCCAGCACGACGAATGTATCCTCTGCGCAAAAATTTGGCATAGAAATCCATCCATGCATTTCGGAAAATAGAGGCCGATTTCTGCACAGGCTTTGACCTGATCTTAATATATAAGCAGTATATTTATGTATAATTATGATTATGCGCACCTATTTTCCTAGCGATTTTCTGCTAAAATTTGAGCTGGTTTTTTGAGGTATCATCTGCGCAATTAAAAAAAATTAAGTATGCTTGTCCTGTGTACAGTAGTACATGAGTGGGTGCATGCGAGTGCATACATCTGTCGCAAAATGGTACAACGATGTTACCATCATGGCCATAAAAAGCCAAAATTATTCATTACTTATACCTTTCAATTTTCATACCATAATTTATGAGGGCGCTCATCATAGTGTCTGCCACTAATTTAGCTGAATGAGCACATTAATCAGCCAGCCCAGTCAGTTGAAGATATCAGTTTTTTAATTTATGTTTTCCATTTGAATCAAGCAGCTACTCAACCATCTTAAATTTTATTGGAACTCAATAAAAATCATAACAAAGATGTCAGTTTCTTTATATATGTTTTCTATTAAAATCAAGCAGGAGCTCTACAGTACTCAACCATCTTAAATTTTATTGGAACTCAATAAAAATCAAAACATTTTATAAGATTGATATTGTTGATTGTAATTGATAAATAAATGAATAAATAAACAAAAAATGAAATAGCAATTGCACTTGATTTAATAAAGATTTAATAAAAAAGATGATGTAAATCCTGATGTATTCCTTGTATTTAAATTTCTGTTTTATTTAATGCATGGGTTGGGTGGGGGACCAAAAGGGGTGCGACTGTCTCTTATACACATCTAGATGTGTATAAGAGACAGGGTGGGTATTGTCCTAGGGGAGAAAAAGACCGGGGAAAAAATGTCGGGGTAAAAACCAGCCTACATCTGTATCACCAAGTAAAAAACTAAATGTGTTTTAGAAATCTCATTTAAAACTAGATCTCCCGGAATTGTTTTCTTCCAATGAGGGATCCACGGTATATATTATAGAGAGGTTTGACCAAGCAATTACCGTAGACACACAAAGATCAAAATGTATCCCAGTGTATGATATTCATACTAAAAATCCTATTATTTTTTTGAAATATAATATGCATCGTACCCAAAGCATAAATTGCAAATCATGAATGTATTTCAAATTCTTATTTTCAGTCTTTCTTGTGTACCCGATTTATTTAATATTTTTCTTCAATAGAATATGATAGGCCTATATTTTGTACATGCAGAAAATGAATCCAATTTTAAAATATACCGTTGTAACTATGCTCTACTTAGGGGCTTTGGCTCTGTATTTAGATTTCAGTTTTAATTTGTTATAAATTCATTTCAAAGTTATACATTAATTAATAGAAATGTCTAAATATATTCTGACCCATCCCAGTCTCTTTATTATTTTTTTTTGCACAAATATACTTACCTTTACTGTACAGTTTCCTGACAAAAAATATATATTTTTTATAAAAAGATAACTTATGGTTTGAGATTACTATTTAATGCTATTTGAAGTGTCAGTGCATAACTTAAAATGTTGTAGCCTCTCAAATTCTCTATATTCCATTCATAAGTTACTTTGTTTTTTATAATTATTATTTTGATGACAAATAATGCCATGTTTAAGTACGTATGACTTTAGCGTTTTTGAATACTGTTTAATTCGGTTTGTTAACAATAAACAATGATATTGTCTGTCTTGTATCTTTAAACAATATTCATATATATTTAATCAATTTGATTTATATTATTTATGCGCTTTTCAGGTGACAAAGAACTTGCAAATTTTCTTGAAAGAGAAATAAAACTTGAAAAAAAACACCAACAGAAAGATGCCTTGCCTGAGGTTCCAGGCTTTCATCCAACTTTTGATGGCGCAAAGGTTAGCTTGTCAAAAAATGAGAATGGAGAAGGGTGAGTATGATTGATTTACCTTTTTAAAGAATTTCATTCACATATGATGTTTATAAATAAACCTCTTTATGAAATTGAAGACGCCTTAAATAGGGAGTGAAATTATTTTTAGTCATGAGAAAAAATTTTGCTGACTGCCATAGGAATTAAACCCAGGACCCTGAGATTAGAAGAAAAGCATTACTAAGCTACACAACTTCACTTAATGTTCTCTGCTGTGTTTACAGGTTGAAATATGGGACTGGTATTTAAAATAGGAGATATGACGATGCTTAGTCCCTTTAGCAAATACTGCACTGTGATCAACCCAGGGGTGGCACCAGATTTGCTTAAGGGCGATTCAAGGTCTCTGCCGGGTGGAAGGGTGGGGGTGACGAAAGTAAAGTCAATGTGGTCGGGCTTCGCTCACAATTTCTAAAAGTGTTCCAGGGGCGAAGTCCCGAAAAGTATGGCAATTTAGAGGTTACAAAGGCTTATTTAATATGAACAGCCAACAACAGCAACTAGGGCAGTTTAATCTCTGTTGACAAATTGTCAAAAGACTAATTGGATTGTCTGTATTTTCCTTCCTCTACATGATTTATTTTAACTATCAATCATTTATTACAACTTAAAGATTGAATGGGAGAAAAAATAATTGCTAGTGCAGTTGTATCATGGAAGGCCATTGTAATTTCACAAGAACAAGAATTGATTAATTAGTTATGTACAAGAGCTCAAAATGGAAGCCTGACTAACATTGGTTTCATTAAAAGACCCAATACCTAGAAATGATTGGCTATTTAGTTTTACAGTTATTGATCTTATAGAAAATTATATAAATTATTTTTCGTTCATAATGATTTTAGAGTTGTGATCTCCTTTAACATCAATCATTCTGTTGAAGCTGAAGGTTCGGGCGAAGGGGAATCAGATGAGGAAGGACCTCTGGTAAGCAATCAATTAATCATATCAATCAATCAATCATCAATCAATCAATCAATCAATCAATCAATCAATCAATCAATCAATCAAACATTTGTTTCTTCCAGAAACAAATCAAAATAGAAAAACAGAGTTGTTACTGGTGCTATATGGAAGGCCTAAATAGTGCACATACAAATGTGGTTAAAAGGGTTTTCCACCTTGCAGATGAAGTGGTTCAGTGGGTTGAACACCATGTTTTTATACTCATGACTTAGCTGCCTTTACTCTCTGTATACTATTCGTCTAGTATCCAAACTCTTTTTTCCAAAAGGGGCGCGATTGGCAATCAAGGACCTACGATTTGATAATGCGGGACCTATGTTTCAGAAGGCAGGTCTTTTAGTGTTCCCTAGTACATATGGATAGGTGTCAGGAGGCTTTTCCCCAGGAAACTCTGTAGTTTTAACCATTTTATAGTGTCTCAAGTAAGGCGTGATCTCCAAATTATCCCTGACGGCAGAAACACGTCTAGGTCAACACCCTATCACGAACGCGTCTGAGAAATCAACCATTCTAATTACCACGCAATATGAATATTCATTTGCTACACGCTTGAATTACGGCTCGCGTCTGGACGATGGTGAATCGTTTGGACGCTTGTTGATTGTTTGAACGATTTTCTATTGTTTTCTTATACGTAAATGTGGCTATACTTTCTCTATGCTTATATGAAGATTTGTAAATTGCATGATGACAACGTGCCTGGAGGTCTAGGCCGCGGTATGCGCTAAGCAAGGTCCATTGGAATTCGTTTTGCACGACACTAAAAATAGCGCTGACGTTTTCTTTGCAAAAGTGAAGGAGGGTACATTGGCATTACAAATCACAAACATACTTCAAATTTTACTTTAAGTGCTATGGTAAGTCGGCGAGGAGAGGAATTAATTGCTGTGCTGGATGTTTACCACAGCTGCACAGGATGGTGATCTCGCTTCTTAATACTGATGGTGGCCAGCGACTCCAGCTGCGACTGCATCGGAAATAACTTTAAAAAATCGGATTTTTTAACGTTATTGTTTATCGATTTGTAAAATCACCGAATATTGCGATAGTCTCACCTATGCACGGTACTAGGCCTACTGAACGTCGACGTTTCGTTACCCAACCGACTATTTTTTTAGCATCGACCAGGGACTTCCCCTAGTTTACGTACTTCTGTCAGTTCTTGCACACACAGGCGGCGTACAAAGAGACGTTCATTAGCAGGTAAACAAGCCCGTACTTGGGTATAGGGCTGCAGTCATTTGCTGCAAGAAATGGTAATTATATTAAAGTGGACATAACTATTTATAATGATTCAACTTAATTATTGAAAGCCTGTAGCTTGTCATGGATTCTGGACTCTAGTATTTTGCGGTGTATAAATATATAACCTTTCGCCTGTAACTGTACATTTTTGTATTTTCAGATGCGCTCTTATCCTGACTTTCATGTTGAGGTAACTAAGGATGGCCAACCAACACTTTCACTAAGGTGTAGCTTTTCTACAGACTTGAATGATGGTGAGGAAGATGAAGTTGACCAACAGGAAGATAAATTTATTATTGATGAGGTGTCTATCTATAAGGATCCATCAATGGATAGTGTCTATACTGTAGGCTCTGAAGTCATGGATGGGGTAAATATTTTTTTTCTCTGATATTCGTGTGCAATCATTATAATAATATGTATGTATATATAGCGCTCTACAAAACAAAGTCTGTGATTGCTTTTCCACAGTATTTACCCAATTCATTGGAACGAAGCCTATGACTAAAATTCCGTAGTTAGCTGCATGGAAAATATTAGGGAATTTTGTACTCATATTAATACTCCTGGGGTGGAGAGGGGCATCATGAATAATGCCTTGGTCAAGGCAGTGTCGGATCAAGGATTTTGACATAGGTGAGACCCAGGGAGGGATTTTCACAGATGGAGGTCTATACCACCTCAGGCCCATCATGGTTGGGGCTTAGGGAAGAAAATTAATTATTATAATGGCACCTCTATATGGCTGGTAAACGCACTCGCAGACCTAAAAAATGAATAAAATTTTCTTTGTATATCCATGTTTTTTGTTTAGACAAATTTAGGGGGACTGGGCTTGCAATGTCCCCCTCCCTTTGAATCCGCCACTGCAAGAACACAAGTGACTTGCACAGCGTAGATTTAGAACCCATGCCAACTTTGAAAAAATAATATATTATATGTTACTGGTAATACACTAATGTTAAACCCGGGCTCCAAAAGAAAAATATGTTTTCATATGCTGTACAAATGAATTCTTTTTTTAAAGACACTAAAGGGATATTGATGGAAAAACTCAGGAACTCGGGTACATATTTTTCAACTTTTAAAGGGTGGGGAACGACATTTAAATGTGAAGAAGGGGCTTGAAGAAGGGGTTTGTTTATGTAGACAAATATGCTGAAATTTGACTACTGTATAGAAACATTAAAATGGTACTACATCAGTATCCCTTGCCATCCTATGATAAAATTATATATATTTGTCAACAGTGATGGTCTAATTATTATTATTTGGAATGATGTAGCATATCTTACTGTAATGGCAATAATTTATAAATAGCAATAATATTTTAATTTATTCACAGGATTTGTATGATTTATTAATGAATATGTTGGAAGAGCGTGGTGTTACTGACAGCTTCACTGACACACTTTGTGAATTTGCGACATCCGTGGAGCACTCGCAGTACATTCAGTTCTTGCAGAGCCTCAAAGAAATTGCCAAAAGTTAAAGTTTGGTTCCTTAGGCCCACACTTCAGGTTATGTTAGAAAAAAAGGTAACAAAATAATACCTTTAGTTCTTGATGCAAGCATGCATTATCACCATATAACAATGTACTTTGTTTGAGAACAATAACATCGTGTTGTAGATAATAATCTATATTAAACAATGCATTTCTACTTGATGAACTCACCATCATAATTATTCAGCATGAATTTAAAGAATGTTAGTTTCCCAAATTTTACCTGAGATGTGACCATGAAGGTATATGAATACTAGAAAAGTATATATGGCTAGCAGTGGTAGCATCGCCAAGGTTCGAAAAATATATTTCATGGAACTTTCGTCGGCAGACTAATAGTATCAATTTTCCAATCCAACCCAAGTGATTGTATTTGCAGTTCCTTACTATTTTGTTGTGAATAGCAAAATTTGTGTAGCAAGGGGATTACCTCTTTTATCTTTTATCTTACCATGGGCTTTTAATTCTGGACTGTCACTAGAAGCTCTTTATGGTCACTTGGTATGGATCGCCTTTGAATTCATCCCCCTGTTTGCAAATTTCTAGAGCCATCACTGATGGTAAGATGTGATCACACAATTACTGAGTAATAAGGATAATAATAATAATAATAATAATTATTATTATTATTATTATTATTATTATTATTATTATTATTATTATTATTATTCGAAAAATAGCTCATCTGTGTTGGTATTTGAATGTACTAAAAGTTTAAACTTTTGATCACAACACAAACAAATTTCCTTACCTTAATTTTTTTTAAATTTCCTTAGTTTTACTAATTATTATTATTATTATTATTATTATTATTATTATTATTATTATTATTATTATTATTGTTATTATTATTATTATTATTATTATAATATAATATTATTATTATTATTATTATTAAGATTTATAAAGCGCACATATCTCCTGCAGTAGTGCTCAAGGTGCGGACAGCTCAAAATAGATGCTTATTTATCATTTAGACAGGCTTCCATCTAGCAGTGGGCTGACAGTGGCAAATTTTGATGATGAGTTGAGTGCTTAACTTTCTCTTAATGACTGTATGATAATTCTATCAAAGAGACTTGGTGCTCTAAGAACTGATCATTCAAATAACATTTTTCTGAATAAAATGTTTACATAGTTTGAAACTTGTTTTGATGCCCATGTGTACCTGTATCTATTCAGAGCCTGAAAGATTGTTTTTTTTTTGATAAAATTATTAATGAAAAAAAAGGCTGGGGAAAACTTTTTTCTTTTGATTTTCAAAAAATACGCTTCAGAAAAATCCAAATTCTCATCTGACAGCACTATCCTGACCTGATAAAACTAAGTACAGGTGTGTTTTTCCTTAAAAAAAAAAAAAAAAGATAAATACATATTGCTATAATTGATTGCATAGAAAAAAAATGCCAGTGAGTTTCAAAGGCAAATGCTTGTTGACAAAAGAGAGGTCTTACAGTAAGTTTCTATTTCCATTTCCATTTCAAAATTTAAAATAGTAATTAAAAATACCATTCCTGTATTCTTTTGTATAAACCCTTATTAAAATTGGCTGGATCAATTGGCTACAAATCAGTAAAAAATATTTTGATTCTGGTTTGAAGTATTTACTTGATATAAAATCAGATCTAATGCAATCAATTAAAACAAAGAATATATAATTGGATATTAAAACAAGTAAACATTACTGACAAATTAATTCAAGTTCACATTCAAGTGGTGTCAATTAGGCCTATAAAAAATTATCCTTTTAAATGGGTTATTAAACATTTTGGTTAAATTTTTCAGGTTTTCCCAATATTTTTGGAAGCCAGCACATCTTGAACTTAACTATCGGACTTCAATTAACTAAATAAACCTTCTACACAAATTGAATCTACTTTTTTTATTCATTCTTCACAACAAGTACAATGTACAAAATTTACAAAACAGTTAAGTGAAATAAAAAGACTGATTGTTTGGATTCTGTGCCATTTGGTTTTGAATAAGCAATTTGAAATACAAAAGTATTAACACAGTAAAACTTCGAAAAGAAAAGAAAAGGTTTGATAACACACTACAATGCATGCAGGCCCTAATGGAAATAGAATGAATGATTTCATTCATTTGTTTTTCTACACCAATTTTGTAAACTGAATTAAAACATAAACATACAGATTCAAAATGATTGGATACATACTGTATTATAAAAAAGACCTCACATTTTATTGGTGAGTTTGCTGAATAAAATGATGTAAACAACTGTGAATCTGTACTTTTACCAAATCTTGATTCTATTCTTTGTTCCTCGACCATCTCCAAAACGAGCTAGTTTTTGGCACATAATTTGGCACGTTATTGTCAGAGGTTATTTCAAATAATTTTTTTTAATACACATGCTTTAAAATTTTTTGAAAACATACATACACTCCGCTGAATGAATATTCTATTCTTAGATGTAATAAGAGTAAACAAAAAATCAATTTAAAACTTAAGTTGGCATGTTTTTTTCAATGATGTTTGGTTTTCTTTAATATATAACATCTAACTGCAATATATCGTTTACAAAAATTTCACAGTATTTCATGTCACCAAGTATACCACCAAAATTACAAATAATATAATTTTCTTCACAAATAGGTGTATTTTATGTTACCATACAGACAGAAGCCAAGAAATTATGTGGCAAAAGTCTTACCCGCCAAAAGGTTGACCTTTGTTGATTTATACCCGCTTTACCACAAATATAAGTTGACCTTGTATTTCTCATTAAATTGAAATCGATTGATTGATTGTCTTGGGAGTAGCATACCCTGATTTTTTACTTGAAAGTAAAATAAATTTCTCTACAACTGCCAATAGTTTTACTTTAACTTTTTTTTTTAAAGACAATGGCAGTGAATTTAGATTACTTTTGTTTCTCTTTCAGTAAAATAATTATTAATTGTATGTAGTACACTAATAGCATTATGATTTCAAATTGTTTTGCACTTTTTGAAAACCAGAATGTGGTCAAATGCATGGAGAAGATTTAAAGAAGGTACCTAACACAAGTTTATAAATTTGTCTATAGGAATATGTTATTTTACCAGCTATAACTCAAATTTGCCTACCTTACGGTTAGGGATAGATTGCGCCCTCATTTATCATTACTGTGTAAACCCCAAAGATCTAATACGATCTTTTGTGTAAACAACCAGGCTATGTATATAACTTTATGTAAAATAACGAATAGGCGTTTTAACGGCTATATGCTGTATATAATTTATGTAATATGAAAATGCTTAGGTTGTTCAAAGTACAGTATATACACACACACCGTCTCTCAAAATGCTAATTAATTATAGCATACCCTTGAAGTTCTTTGAACAGGTGAACTAATCATTAATATTAGGCCTATTACCTATTTATTAATTTAATACTGTGTTGTTTATAATTTTCTTAGCTACTTTACCCATTATGACAAGGGAAATCACAATATAAGTATTTACATAATGTTCACATAAACCTATACACAGGTATTATATACAAGAAGCGTTAATGACATTGCCCGGAATGATACCGTATTTGAGATGCGAATGAAATCTCTTCGCGAGAGAGTAATGTAGGCCTAAAACTCGGAAAATATAATAACTACATTGAACAGAGAGAAAACGTTTAATTTAGGGAAAATAGCAGACATAATTAAAACTGAAGTTTCTGACAAGTTTCGCATCGAACGAACTTTAACAATTTATAAAGAGAGATTGGAAATTAAATGTCCTGATAATTATGTACTAGATTGATTGAAATCTTTAATCAGTAGAAAGAAATATATAGGCTTATGTATATAATTTGTTTTTGGTTTTTGTAGCCTACTATTACTAATATTAATTTGAAGACTAATTGTCCAGAAAATGGTAGACTAGGCCTGTGTCAAAATGCAGGATCAGTATCGTTTGGGAATCTATTGGTAGCCAGTAGATACGATGTACAGCAATAGTCGGTGAATGAGCATAGGAAAGGAGTCCACAGTTACATCAAAACGAGATACAATACTGTACTCGGGTACTGTAGACCTAACTCATACCGGTGGGCTGACTTTCACTTCTTCAGGGGTATACAAATATTTGTATGCCCGCTGTATACATATATTTTCTTAATTAGGCCTAGACCTAGTACAAAGACATAACTTTGAATACACGTCCGAATAATGCCATATTAGTAGGCCTACAATTTTATTACTACATTATACGTCAACAATGCCTTAAGCCTACAGATTCATTTTATATACAAGGATTAATACGCGATGTCATACCATCTAAATTCATTAGAAACACTTTACAAGTAGAAATATATTTTACTAATAAATATATCGATGCTAAACAATACCCATTTAGAACAGTATTTTTACTTTTTTAATAGGATTAATGAAATTGAGGTCACGTCGTAATGCTCATTGCCTATACAATAATATTCAACATTTTTGTTAACAACTGACGAAACTTTAAACTTGATATTTAGGCCTAGTATTAGGCCAACGCATCAAGAAACTTTAAAAACACCAAGAGAGTAAACAGATGGTGGGACAGGGCAGTACACTCAATGGAATGGTACATCATTTCATTATTTTTTAACTTTCTAAATTCTTCTGTAGTGCTGCATGTTGTTTATTCTTCTCCAAACTCGTTTTCCTTATCATAGTTACTGCTTCCTCCATCATTAAGTCTTCCCATTTTACTATCATTTCTCCTAATGATTTCCTCTATTTTCCATCTCCCGTTCATATCACAATATCTATTATTTAATTTCCTCCTCGCTCAAGTTTTTTTTCATTCCCAATATTATTTCCATCATGTTTTCCAAATTATCGAACTTCATTTATTGTATGAAATCAACATAGGCCTAAAACCTTTCATCGTAACAATAACGTCAAAGCGATTACGTTTAGCTTTATCTGTATATGTTACACCAGTACACTATTATCTCCTACGGCCCATACCACGGACAGTTGAGCTCAGTTACTTGTTTCAATCGATAATCAGAATTTAGATACGAGTTCCATTCTGAACAAACGGACTATACCACAGTACACCATCACGATCAGGCAATTCTGGGTATTGTTTTGGCGTTTTAATATTCTTCATAAATTTCTGAAACATAAATAAATGAATGTTTTGTTTGTCAATAAAACATTGCTACATAAATTTATGTGATGAATTACGGGTATATTTCAATTGTGGACAAAATCAAACCGAACTTATTAGCTAGTGTAACTATTATTTAACTACGTCATTATATGAAAATTAACATTAATTCGACGGTGTTGTTGCAACATACCTCCGAGATAGTCCCACTAGTCGTTACTAATTTGTAGATGGCAACAATCGGAATACATGACATAGACGAACACGCTATTAACCAACCGATAGCCATCACCCAATCAGGGTATACATAACCGTACAATTCCAACGGTGTGAACGTCACGAATCCTCCTATTACGATCGCCTGTACAAAAATTTACAAATAAATTATTTTCTGTAAACTTAATTATATTGATTTGAGGAAACTTAGATTTAAATCATATAAAATAATAGTATAACTATAAATCTCGGTTTAGTGTGTATATGCTTATAGGCCTACACTTCTTTTAATTTTTTTTAAATAAGAAAACATTTTATAAGAACACTGAGGCTAAAATTGCTTAAAGATTAAGAACAAAATAAGAACAAATTGAGGCTGAGGTAAAATGTCGACGAGGTTTTTATTTATTTTTTTTTAATTGAAAAACCAACAAAACTACTGTACAATAATAGTATTCTATGTTTGAAAAGTGTGTCAAAAAACACTGAGCCTGTGTACGTGGGCAAATTTTACTTTTTCTTATAAAAATGTGTATTTCATTACCCGTTACAGATTAACATGATTAATTTTGTCACACACACACAAAAAATCTCACCATTAATATTGCTGGACTAATGATAGTCCAACAAAGCCTCCAAAATATTCCCGGATGAAAACCAAGCATTTCTTTAATATCGCCACACAATCGTTCGACTCCTTAAAAAAAAAAAAAACAATGACAATTAATGTTTCGATGTCCCAGTAGACTCGGTAAACTCATGTCTTAATTTATTATTATTAGTGGATGTCGAAAAATGTCAACCAATAACTGCGACACATTGGTGTTACATGTAAGAGTGGTAAACATTGTGTTTAGATTCTTACACTATTTACAAGTAAGCAAAACATAGAAGAAACTTACCGTAAAACCAAGACACGGCAATGGCTTCACAAAATACAACAAATACAATGGAATATTGAATAGTAAATACATCGAATAATGTGAATAGATATGTTCCACCCTAAAAAGAGAAATTGGAAATTTAGTATTCAAAACTGAAGTTATTGTGTTGGGATTAATCACTTAAGTTGAGATTATTAAGCATAGGATTACTGTGCTCTTATTAACCTTAAGTTGATAATAACAATATTATAGGCAATGTAAGTTGATATCAGATAACAGGTTGAGATTAGTAGCTTTCTGTTAGAATTAATACTTATATTGAAAGTATGATGATTAGCGGCAAGTTTAATTTAGAAACTTATGTTGAAATTAGTGACTTGAGTTGGGATTGGTAACTTAAGTTAAAATTATTAACTTTAACTATTTTGGGAGTCTATTAACATAAGTATATTCAATTGAGGTTAGTATCTTGTGTTAGGGTTGGTGGATTTGCTTAATATTTCGTATCAAATCGCTTATTAATATTATAAGATATAACTGGATTAAATAAAAGATTTACTAAATAGAACAAATGTTTTAAGTACAGCAGACTACATTAATTGTATTAAAAGGTGGGTCGTAAGTTGCCACATACAAACTCGGGCATTACAAGAAAGGCTTCATCATCATCATCATCCTCATCATCATCATCATCATCATCATCATCATCATCTGCATAATATCTATTAATAGAGTATGCTTGCTCATTATGAAAATTGGCCTACACAATTTTTGCAATAAGAAATTCCGATGATATCAAACGCAAATATACTACTACGATATTATGTAAAATCTAGTTCCATCTTTTAATGGGCGTGGCTTTTTGCTCTATAAATATAACGCTATAATTTAATTGTAGGCCGATGTCAAGTGTAATAAAATATTAAGAAGGAAAAAAACATTTACCTGTGACATAAATGCCAGGCCAACAAGAAAATACAAAGTAAAGAGGCAAGCAATGAAGATCTCTCGGTGCTTTTTAATGGTTTTTGGAAATTGATCGGAAATTCCAGTGATGATAGCTTCAGATCCGCCAAACTTTATAAAAAAAAAAATGTTTATATCATTAGTATAGACATACGTCATTCGCTATCTTAAAATCACCAACTTAGCACTGTATAGCCAGGTCTACAATATCTGCAGCTTTTAGAAGCAATGAATTCAGCAAAACGTACCGAGTTGTAAATATTGAAGTTACGTTTCCTGAACGGTAGCACTCTCAAGATAACTATTGTTATAATTACATTACACAAAGAAGATCATGTGGGAATACCGATACCGAAAAATAGTGCTCTGTCAAGAAGAACTCTTTTGGTATTCCAGTGTATTTCAGTAAATTTTTCAAAATAGAAAATAGATGAGGGAAAAGGTAAATTACAGTACATTTAAATTTTTAGTCTCAGTGCAATTTCCGGCCATCTAAAAGTGCCATAAACATAAAATCAATCGGACCTCAGCCCAACCATTGTGGGGCTGTAAAGTGTACTCTCTGGGCCTTTGTATATTGATTTTCTGGATCTGTCACTGTATTAAATAGCTCACGACCCAAACTAGGGTCGCCAAGATATTTTGTAGGGTCAACTGACGTTATTTGAGAAAAAAAATCATGCATAGTTTAAGGGATGATTATCTTTAAAATTTCATGATACTAGCAGACATTGTCATGTCTGTCACGCGTCCGTGGGAATCGTTGTCGATGACTGTGTAATAAAAGCCCAGATGCTCTCTGGAAGTGAATAGTGTGAACTGCTTCCTGAATTGAAAATAAAAATGTTCCACAAAGTAAAATTAATCACCCGTCTTTCATAATTGACCTTGATTCTCATGTTTGTTCATTTCATTATTGAGGAAATAGTTTATTTAATCTATGATTTAATGGATTTCAAAGAAGGAGTGTCAGTGCCTCTACAAGATGTTTAGGACTATATTGAGATATTCCTGGAACACTCAAGTGAAATGGAGGACAAATGGCGACAACAAACACTTATGTAATCACCATACCATATGTACATTTAGAGAACAACAATTTTTTTAAAATAATATTTTTATTTGTTTTCTATACATAGCCTACGTTGATTGTGTCATGAAACTGTTTTCCCCAGTATATTATCGCTATTTTATTAAGATGAAGTTGTTTTTTTGGAATAGGACTATTATCACGTGATGGTCGGAAAGTTCTCACCACGTGACTGTAACTCTATAATTTGAAAATGCGGCGCAAAAAGGGTCCAATCTCACTGAAACTGTCATATTGTGAATATTTGCAAATTACTTACAGAACTATCCAATCCTATCGTTATCAACATGAGGAAGAACAGCAAAGACCAAAAACTAGCACCCGGCATCATAGAGAGCGCTTCGGGGTATGTGATGAATACAAGTCCAGGACCTGATCGACAAATTATATTATTATTAATATTATTATAATAATAATAATAATAATAATAATAATAATTATTATTATTATTATTATTATTATTATTATTATTATTAAATTACATGAAATCAAATCCTATTAAATACCAACAGTTTTATCAATATCATTTATGTTGTTTCAATTACAATAATTTTCTTTAGAAATATAAAATTATTTAAGTTTAAATCTTGGTAAATTAATTTGACATTTTATTTGACAAAACATGTGACATGCCTAAATATGGTCATGATGATATCACATCATGACCATATATAGCCACATCATGACTATATATGGGCATACAACAGTTTTTTTTGACAAATAAAATTTGATAGTCTGGACCGGGATTTATGTTCTTCTAAAAATCTAACATAGCAGGTCACTTAGCTTGATGAAGTCAGTCAACACGACGAAAGCATAGTCATAGTCAACACGATTAAAACACCATTTGGTTTACCCACATTAACTACTTACAATACATTACAAAACCAGATAACCATACATTTGGACATAATTCTCGAATGTCCCACAATCTGTGCAGGACCAGGGATTGATTCCCTGATCATCAATCCCTGATAATAAAAGAACACGAAAAAAACAAAAAAAAAAAAAAAAACAATTCATAAATAAATAAAAGAGATAAATTATACTTATTTTCTCATTTTGGAAAATAAAGCGAAAAACATTTAGGCCGACATTACCCTCAAGACCCTTTAGATCTTCAATCTCCTTTCGTTGCCGCAATGCCATGTGACCAAGTGTTGCGAACACAACCAATCCCGAGATGAAGCTTGTAAAGCAGTTAATCGAACTTGTGACAATTGCATCCCTAAATGTTTTGAGTAACATATAACAAACATTACTTGAAGCTGATAGTTGTTTTGAACGTTAAAGAAGTGGAATCT